TTAATATTTTTTAGTGTTATAATTAAGTAGTTAAAGTCACAAAGAAAATTATGTAATTTTGGAGATGTTGAAGAAAATTTACATTTATGAATATAATATTTTCCCAATAAAATAAATAAATTTCCTATATATTCTACGTTATGTTTACAATGTGAAAAATAACAAAATATATCACACATAGTAACATCAATGTCTACATTAGATTTTGAAGAAAAGAATTTTGACACGTCAGACCAACATTCCTTAACAAGGGGGCATTTGAAAAAAAAGATGATCAATAGACTCAATGCTGACATTACAGAAATTACAATTCAGATGAGGATTACCAAATTTGGATGTAATCTCATTAGTGGGGTATATATTATGCAAAATCTTTAAATGTAATTCTTTTACTTTGTTGGGGACACAGAATTTATCAGGTAAGAGCCATGCTTTTTTTCAATTAATCTTATCTATTAAAGAATTCCAAAAAAAAAATCCCCTCGGAGTTATTCTTTTCCTTGACTGAAACACATTTCTTATCATTTTATTATTACATTTTGGGTCATAAATGCACTTGTCATCAACCAAAAAATTCGGTTCCCTTTTTACAATCTCTTCAAATGATAGATGACATTTCATTAAGTGAACAAGACCATTAGGTATAGCTTTAACAATTGTAAGAAATTCCTTATGAACCACAGGGAAATTGTATTTAAACATGAAATCACCGTAAGAGTAAACATTCCCTTGAGGATCTAGTATATCACAAAGATAATTAATACCTTTTTCATGCCAATTCTTAAGAAAAATCGACTTGTTCTTTACTAAAATACTTTCGTTGTTCCATAGCTTCACTTTATGCGGGGAGAAATTGTGAACAAAACAAAGTTTCCATGCCAAAAGTGTCTGTTCATGGAATTTAGAAAGTTTAATGGGGAGTTTAGAAGGGGAAAAGTTACAAGTTAACAAAAATGTAAGACCTCCCACGTTTTTATAGATATTGTATGGGATAAAGTACCAAAAAGAATCTGATGAATTGACACAATTCTTAAGCCAATTTACTTTGAAAGTATAATTAATGTCAAAAAAATCAAGCATCTCAAAACCTCCATCAGCTTTCTTACCACAACGAACTTGTTTCTTCAAATATTGGATGTTTGTTTTTCCAAAAAAAGTTCAACAATAAACTATTAATTTGTTTACATGTATTGTCGTGAACAAATAATGAAAAAGATGGGTATATAAAATGAGACAGACCTTCTGCTTTTATTAAAAGAACTCTACCAAGAAAGGATAGATCTCTTTGAAGCCAATTGTTAAATATTGGTTTTGCTTTTTTAATTTTAGGAGTAAAATTAATTTCTTGCCTAAGAGAGATTTTCTTGGAAATATGGATGCCGAGATATTTCACATTATCTTTAATAGGTATATTATTCACAGAGGTTTCAGCCCAAAATAATCTTAAACAGTAATACAAACGCCAGTGTGACGTCACAGCTCATGGGCGGGCCCCCAATATTTGCTGTACACAACTGGTTTAGTAAATATAATTAGCACAATAATTTAAAATAATAGGGCTACATGTAAACTGGAAGGCCCCGTCGTGTATAATAATAAACGTGGGCATACATGTGTGCGTGTGGTAAAAACGAATAGGCTAGAATAGTATTATTTTCCAACTAGCCTACTTATTCACATGATATGCACGCAAATGAGCATCCTCAAATTTGAATAAAAGCAAATATTTGCGGAGATGTACGATTAGGCGAATCTAAAAATAAACGGATACTGGTTTCCAGCTCCAAGTGTGCGCTCGACTAGTGAACAGATGATGGCTCTACGGGAGAAACGGCTCGCTCGCAGCCAGGTTCACATAGCTACTGCGAAGCGTTTTGCTCCGGAGCGGATAGACACCGCACTGCACCGGTCATTATGAGAGAAGAGGGACATCATGAACGAGTAGAGCCTAAATTTAGATGAAAAGAGGATGTTCTTCAAGGTACTTCAACCACAACATCCTCTCCTCGTCTTAATGTCTCATTGAACTATAAAAACATGTCTTTTCCGCATACCTTTGTGATCCATCCCGAGACAGAACCGGTTTCACCTGATCCTCCGCTATGATCACGGCCAGCGCGTTAGCTCAACAAAGGGGATCCCGGTATAGAATCGCTACGGACGGTCGGTCACCATCGGTGAGGGACCCACACACCTCTTTTATTTTCAATTTCAACCGTGGACAGCTGCCAGATATTCTGGCTACCCTGGAGTCCGTAGCAAGCGAGGGCTGGGATGGAGAAGTGTTGTCGCAGCTGTATGCCATGCATGAAGAGGTTATGGGACTGCATATGGCCCGAGTTTTACTATCCGAACATCGCTCGTCCGGCCGAGATCCGCACGGTTTCAGGTGATATCCGGATCCCGGCTCCTAAGAAGAAGCCGGCGCAGCTGTACGCGGCGCTCTTCGACTTCGAAGCCCGCAGTGAGGAAGAGCTGACGGTGAAAGAGGGGGACAAACTGTCTGTCATAGAAAAGAGGGGAGATTATGTATTTGCCAAGAAGCTGACGGGGTCCCTGGAGTCCGGACTGGTCCCTGCTAATTATGTGGCCCTAGTACAGGATGAATTCGCTAACTACAGGTAAGTCCCGAGTCTGACAATCTGTAGACTTACTTTGATTCTAGTGATATTTGTAATTAAAATATTCATTATATTTTATGGAAAATGATCACTCTGTAATAGCCAGCCACTAGTCTTTTCTACGTAGTGCACACAGAACCACCTGTGTAATTAACACTTGAACCTTAAGTCCGAACAAAAGATGTGTGTCTTATACAAATATAGCTACATAAGTTTTGTCAGGGGTTCCATAAACTGTAGGTACTGTCTTTATGTATGACTTTATTATATATTTAATTATCTTTAATGGATCTCGAAAACCTTAAGTGTTTATTAAAGTCAATTGACTACTGGCCCCAAAAATTGCATGAGACCGACTATATCTTGAAAATGACCTTTAAATTTAGATTCAATCATTTTGCAGATGTTGAAAATGTGTTAAAAATTTCAATTTTCAAAAAGAGAGAACCATTGTATAATTCACACTGTAATAATAAGGTCAATAGGTCAAAGCCTGACCATACTGTTTTGAAATTACAGTAGCAGTGTGCTTGGTTATACATTAGCTCGACCAAGCGGTTCATATATCTACACTGTCTCATTTAACTCACAATGGGATTTATCATTATCCATGTGAACAGTGGGCTGTGCGCTTCGTTTACTTTATCGTTTACTTCTGTTTGGTTGCTGTAACAGGGTCAGTCAATTGTTCTTGCTGTAAAGACCTAAATAGTGTTGACAGGTAACGGGTTGTTATGTCAGAGTTGTGTGTGTGTTCGGCCTCTGGTGCACCTGTCGCCTGCCGGAGTTTCACTGAAACTGAAGCACCATGGGATTGTGCTAAACAAGCATGTGCACCTGCCACACCCATATTTAACATGGCAACACTTTGCATGACGCCACAGTGTTTGCTGTGAGAAGCTGAATGCGGTTAATGTGGGCAAAATTAGGTGTTTCTTTCTCTCACTGTAATGAGCAAATAAAGGAAATAAGAGTATTAATTCAAAAAGTGAAATAAGTGAATAGTAGGTTCTAAAAGCCCAGTATATTAGACAAATTGGTTTAATATGTTCTTGGTGTATGGCTAATTTGCATTTCTACACAACTCGTAACATATTGATGAACCATTTAGAGAATGTATATTTTGGAGGTGTTTTTTTATTATTATTATTATCATACCACATTTTTAAAGTGAAATATCTCCGTATATTTGTCATTATAAAATGTTACTGGTAAAATGTGAAAAAAGAAATGGCAGATCTAGATTTTTACACGGCAATTTCAAGCATTTTACACTACAGTACTCATATTACTCACATTGTTAGCTGACATAATAGCAACAGGACTAATAAGAATGTGTCAGTAAATAATTACAGTGAAATACATGTTGTTCATTCCTCACTACTAATCCAATTTCTCTAATGTAAAAAAAGACTAATTATGGTATTAAACATGCATTATTAATGATTACATTATTAACATTTCTGTTGATAGTTCAAACATATTAGTTCAGAATTGTGCATGCAGTAGACAGTAAATGTGCTGTGTTTGCTTTAATCAATCAACATCAAAATATTCACATTTCAGAATAATATAAAGATTCATGGAATTTATGCACATTTCTCCTGGTTTTATTTATATGATATATGCTGATATATTATCAGCATTAATTAAAGGCACAACATTAAATATGTATGTGTGTGTGTATGTGTGTGTGAGTGTGTGTGTATATATATATATATATATATATACAGTATATATATAGTATTATGAAATTTGATGATAATAAAAACAATTTTCTTTAGATTTTGTAAGTAAAATATGACCTGGACACGGTCTTGACAGGTTCTGAAGTATTCATTAATTTCAGCTGTGCTATGTGCATCTGTTTTACAGATGGTACTATGGGAATATAAACAGACAAAAGGCTGAGAAGCTGCTTCTGAGTCCACAGAACAAAACTGGTTCCTTCCTGGTGAGGATCAGTGAGAGCCACAGCGATGAATATACTATCTCCGGTTCGTTCCCTTATGTCTTCTCTCTCAGACAGTCTCACACTCTCTTTCATTTGAATGCCTGGAGACCTCAAGTACTTCTTGCCTGTATTCCTTTGTCTTTCTCTCATACATCATCTCCTTTTTCATCTTTCTTTCTCATCTCCCGTTTTCAGTCTGATCTGCATGACAATGTATCCTCCATTTCATCAATCGTATTATTTTCTGCCTAAGATATCCACTCTCGGCCTAAGATCTCTCTCTCTCTCTCTCTCTCTCTCTCTCTCTCTACCCCACAGCTTGTAACACCATATTGGTCTTCCATGTGCAACTGACTAAGCATTTTCTGTCTCCACAGGAGTGTAGCAGGCATTTTTTAACCGCATAATATTCTGTTTAAGGTCTCAAAAACCCCAAGGCCACTCAATAATTTTTGCTAATCTTGTCAAAATTGATTATACACAGCATTTCCAATTAGATAACATTCTTCTGTCCTCCACTAAAAATTTTTTATTTCTTATATTTAAGGGTCTCAGACATAAAATATTAATATATGTAATGATGATGGGACCAAATAAGTCAATCGTGGTTAAAAAGTCCTAAAAATAAATGTCCAAAAATATTAATGTTGGAAAATGTATTTCTCTCCTTCACAGCCAGAAGTGAAAATAATGTCTTCCATTTCCGTATTCATCGCTCAGCGATTGGTGCTTACTTTGTATCTGACAAGATCTCTTTTGGCACTCTGGATGAGCTCATCAGATACTACCAGCACAACTCCAGAAGTCTGGGATGCCCCTTAGACCAGCCATGTGTACAGCAAGTATGACACTCTTAATATTTAATACACTCCCAAGAGTGATATTTTAGACATCTTAATTTTAGAAATCACTCTTTGTCTTCATGAAACTAATGCTCATAAATAGGCGTTCATTTCATGGGTATCAGTTCTGCATTAGAGATTCAATTAGCGATATAGAGAAGCGGCCTGTTTCTGGAGAAGTGGCCCTGGGTGATGGCGCCAGTTGCTTAATCTTAATCTTAATAAGCAGCCCTGCACAGAAATGTGTTAGAAGAGTTGCTTCGTTTTTGTCTTGCGCTCTGTCTGGTGATCGTCCGCTCTTCTCTCCTCCTTTTCAGGGAGGACACCAAGGCTGAGTAACAGAGCGCGTGGACACACAGCTCCACTGAGAGACATTAACACAAGCCCATTCACTCACTTGCTTCCTAAAAGGATAGCACAGTGACCTTTTGCACCTTTTACTTTATGCATTTCATGTTTTCACTTGGGCAACTTTATCAACTTTGAGATTTTTGTGTTGTGGCTAAGAGCACTTGATATGAATAATACTTGATGTTTTTTATTGTTATTTCAGTGAACAGCTGTTAAGGTCTTTGGATCATTTCATGCTGAATATTCCTGGATCAACATGCTTTATTGCAGGGGTGTCAAACTCAATTCCTGGAGGGCCGGAACCCTGCAGAGTTTTGTTCCAGCCCTGCTCCAACACACAAACCATGTAGTTTTCCAATAAGCCTGAAGGACTTGATCAATTGGGTTAGGCGTGTTTAATTAGGGTTGAATCTAAACTCTGCAGGGCTCCGGCCCTCCAGGAACTGAGTTTGACACCCCTGCTTTATTGTATGTTTTATTGTATTATATTAGATATTTCTATATAACAGTAGGCAACCCTTAATCAAATCAGGAAAAAACAAGGAAATAGTATAGGTAGGGTAAGTTCAGTGAGGTGAGATCTGCCTCCCCCTCACAATTGTGATTGGAATCATTTAATCTGAATTCCAAGTCTATTTTTAAAAATGTAGGCCTATTATAGGCATATAATTTATTGAAATATATTGTGTAGTTCATATACATCGATTTCACTGGAATTCTATTATTGGATTTGTCATCATTATTCAATTATATAAACTAAATGCCAAACGAAACTGTGAAGACTCATCCATTTTTAATATTTATATTATTTATTTTTTATAAATAAATTCATATTTATAACTAGTATTTGTTCACTACTGACAACTTTTTCAAAAATAATGACATTTGTGCTATAAGAACTAAATTATCAAATGCTTCCATTTATTTCCTTTAATAATGTATGTGCACGCTAAACTATTTTCTAAATATGTTGAGCAGTAAATGCACTTTGTTACCCTAAATAAGAATGTTCATAAAGTCCTAATCCTAACATCTGGTTGGTTGAATGTTGTTCCAGAACCAGCAAGGATGTAGATCTAGGAACAGGTCATATTTGTCAAAATCACTGTCACAATCATTTCATACTCTTTCATTGTGTAAATGAAATGAAGAAATCTTTGATTGACAATTACTGGTCCTAGATTTCAAGCTCCACAAGCTGACATGTTTAATGTAGTAACATGTCAATGTAATGTAGTGCATTTTATTTCAACAATAAATTGTCAAAATAGAAAAAAAATTCAAAGCTTATTTTTTTTCCCTATTCTAAACACACCAAAACCAAGCCCGTCTTCTGATGATTTGTTTTCCCAGTAAACTTTCTTAGAAATGCAAATTGCCTTTCTTTTCTTCTTTTCTACTTAATGTTTATGCTGTTAACAAAAAATAAGCACTCTCTAGCCTCTCTGGTTTTATGGTCAATATTGCACGCTGTGTTTAGATCAACATGTGATATAGGGGAGAGATTCTTGGAAGAGTTCTCTTGTAAACTTTGTTGCGTGTGTGTCCGCGTGCAGAGGGAGCTGTTTGACATGGAGCCATGGGAGCAGCCGAGGGAGGAGTTTCAGCTACTCAAGAAGCTGGGGGAAGGCCATTTTGGGGAAGTCTGGGAAGCCGTCTGGATCACAAAGAAACAGAAAGTAGCCATCAAGATGCTCAAACAAGGTACGGCATCACACAAGATGGAATGTTTTGAAGTGAGACAACTCAACTAATACCAGAAAACATCACAGAACTCATGAAAGCAATCCCTAATACTGATGTTTGTGCTGATGTCACTTCCTGGAGGTTACTTGACTGAAAAGACTGAAAGTTAAATTGAGGACATAGGGAAATCCCAATTTATTAAAGGCTTTTTACATTTCATCACATGAGTGCCTACGAATTTTGGGATTTTTTTATATAAACAGTAATAATCAATTGGAATATTTCTTAATAAATTGGCTGTAATTTCATTAGAAATTAGTGCATAGAACCTGCACAAGACTGCACCATCCACTCAAACTGAAGGACAGAACTGAATTCACATTCACTTAATTCTGATAAAGGAAAATGCAATAAGCCTAAATTGAAACCAAAACAGCAATAAGCCTAAATTGAAATCTTCCCATAAAGTAAATTCTGTGATTATGTAATGTTGCTATGTCAGCATTGGTTTAATTCAGCACTGAAGAAATGCAACTGAAAAAAGCTGAATAAATAAGCTTTCCATTGATGTATGGTTTTTATTTGGCCGAGATACAACTATTTGAAAATCTGGAATCTGAGGGTGCAAAAAAATCGAAATATTGAGAAAATCGCCTTTGAATTTGTCAAAAAGAAGTTCTTAGCAATGCATATTACTAATCACAAATTACGGTTTGATATATTTACAGTAGGAAATTTACAAAATATCTTAATGGAACATGATCTTTACTTAATATCCTAATGATTTTTGGCATAAAAGAAAAATCGATGATTTTGACCCATACAATGTATTTTTGGCTATTGCTACAAATATACCCCAGCGACTTAAGACTGGTTTTGTGGTCCAGGGTCACATTTGCTCTTTGAAATTTTTAATTTTGTACTTGGCCACAAATTGTTTTTTAATTTCAATTTTTGGGTTTTGTTTCAAATTCAATATATCGTCCATCATCTGGATCGGCATCATACCCTGAATAAAGGATCACTGTCCATATAAAAATATAAATGGATAAAGGTGATTCTTGATGTGTTTTTAACTTTAAACTGTTATTCTCTTACTCTGCTCTTTAGAGGACACAAAATTGGATGAGTTTGTGAAGGAGGTACATGCACTGAAGAAGCTGCACCATCCTAAACTGATTGAGCTGTTGGCTCTCTGCACACGAGGGGAGCCAGTCTACATTGTCACCGAACTCATGACTAAAGGAAGTCTCAAATCATATCTTTCTAGTAAGTGTGACTGCACTCTGTTTCCCTGTTCACTAATTGCTTGTACACTACATGTTTGAAGATCACTGTATATATCACTGGTCTGGGTATTTCATACATTGCATTTTTTCTCTTATTAGACAATCACGTTCGCACTGACAAACATTTATGGCTTTATGTGGTTATAGTTCAAAAGTACATGAACACAAAAGTGTTTATATCCTTGACACCCAAGTTATTTCCTCCAGTCTGAGAAGCAATTTCTTTAAATAGATATGGCTTTAATTATGATGTTTCCCACTCAAATGTTACCTTCCCCTTTTGCTTTAACGACTCAAGCTGCATGAAATCCACAATCCTGATCACTGTGTTCTCCAGTAGGATTTGAGATGATCCAAAGATCTTGAGCTTCAGTGGAAGCAAGAACAACTGACCATCTGTACAAAGAGTCTCATGATCAGTGTCATTAATTTCTTAGTAATACTTATTTGCTTACTGACCTAGAAATAATCCAAAATCTGAATTTGTGAAATAATTTTTAAACTCACTTTTCCTTTACTTTTTTTTTTTTTTTTTTATCACAAAACGTTTTTCCAGTTTATTTCCAGATTTCAATTAAGATTTGTTTATTTTCAGATTGAACTTTTATTTTGAAGCCCACATTTTCAGTGTGGTCTCAGAAATTTGACATTTGGAGCCTTTTGTTTCACTGATGTTCCCAATGAGCAACTCTTCACCTTTCAATCTAACCTCTTTTTTCTCATCACTTCCTGTAGCACCGGAGGGTCAGGTGTTGACCTCTGCTCACCTGATCTACATGGCTGGTCAGATAGCAGAAGGAATGGCGTATCTGGAAGATCGACACATTGTCCACAGAGACCTTGCAGCTCGAAACATCCTGGTTGGTGAAGACCTGGTGTGTAAAGTGGCTGACTTTGGTCTGGCTCGCATTATCAAGGTAATAATGGCGGGATGTCAAAGATGCCCCTGGAAATCTGCAAATAAAATTGATGCTTAGTATGTAATTTTGTGTGTGTGAGTAGGATAGTGTGTATACCGCTAGTAGAAACACCAAGATTCCTGTACGGTGGACGGCTCCAGAAGCTGCGCTCTACCAGCGTTTCTCAGTCAAATCTGACGTCTGGTCCTTTGGAGTGCTGCTGTATGAGATAATGTCACGTGGAAAGATGCCATATGATGGTATGAGTCTGTCCATTTTTTCTTTCTCAAATACACTACCATTCAAAAGTTTGGGGTCAGTAAGATTTGTAAAAAAAAATTTGAAAGAAGTCTTTTATGCTCCTTAAGGCTGCATTTAATAAAAAAAAAAATACAGTAAAAATAGTAATACTATGAAATATTATTGCAATTTAAAATAACTGTTTTCTATTTTAATGTATTTTAAAATGTAATTTATTCCTGTGATGACAAAGCTGAATTTTCAGCATCATTACACCAGTCTTCAGTGTCACATGATCCTTCAGAAATCACTCTAATATGCTGATTTGCTGCTCAAGAAACATTTCTTATTAATACGAGTGTTGAAAACAGTTGTGCTACTTCAAATTTTTGTGGAAAGAACAGCATTTATTTGAAAAAGAAATATTTTGTAATATAAATGTATTTACTTCCACTTTTTGATCAATTTAATGCATCAGTTTAATTGTTGAATTAATTTCTCAAAAAAAGACCCCGAACCTTTGAGCAGTAGAGTATATATCTCATATACATGTACCACACTCTATGTCCCACAGGGAAGAATAATAAGGAGGTGTTGGAGATCCTGTCATCGGGGTACAGGTTACCGTGTCCAAATCGCTGCCCCCCAAACATCTACCGCATTATGTTGGAATGCTGGCACGCGGAGGCTTCCAAACGGCCCTCGTTTCATGCCCTTCACAGTCAGCTGGAAAATATCTACTCCAGAATCTATTTCAAAACCATTGAGGTGTAGAAGAGGTGGACTGAAACAGAAGATTCTGTGGGACAGAACGGAGAATGAAGAAACGATTTGCATGGACAAAGGTGCACATAAGATAGACTGTCTTCTTGATTGCTTATATTAATTGAGTTATGTGTTATTTTAATAAATGCTTGTTAAAGGACTTTAAAGAGGATAAAAGATTTGATTAGAGAAAAAGAAGTTGTTAAAGAGCAAAAATGTGTCTCCTTAATCTGAAAGGGACAGATTAGCTCATCATAGCAAATCTTGATCATGAGTGGATCAAGATGTCAAGCACTGTTATGTACTGTCATAATATACGTCTTTTACACTGCACTTATTGTATTTTGTGCAAGTGTTGAGCCCGTTCAGTTTTTGTAGTAATAGGAACAGGGGATTATTTGGTCTTGATGTTTTCAGGTCAGAGTTTATGTTTACAAAAGATTCACCTGCCAAAGTATGGACAGGTGTCGAAATGGTGAAAACTACGGCCATTTTAAGTTATAACTGTTGAGAGTCTTTAGCCTATGTGAAGGCAGGCTGCACAAATAACTGTTTTCTACCAGGTTCACGATCTTGAAATGAACACTGTGTTTAACACAGGAGCCATATGACAAAACTACCTGGGTAGGTGTCCTCATGATCGGTTTCGTAGAAATCACATCCATGTCAGAAGCCAGTTGTCTTCCAATGAATTATACAAGATGAATTCTTAAGATAACTCTTGAAAATAAAATATTTTTTCAGTATATGTTTCTGCAGTTTCTTTATCACTTGTTTGCTTATTTATCATAATGTAACCCGACTTTAAGTTTGACCAGAAATTTGCAAGCATGCTATAGTCTGTAAAGCAATTAACATCCAATAATAAAGTATGCCTGTTTAGCCTACTGAACTTGTGTCATTGTCGTCCACAGGCGTGGTTCAAATGCGGAAGGTTTCACTCTAATGTCAGTTCCCTAAAACAGTAGTCTCATATGGGAATCCACTAGCAGGTGTCTCGGGGACAGTTTAATCTCATGGGGGAATGTTTGAGGAAAACTTGCCCATGTCTTAAGACATTATGGGACAGAATATACGGATCCTCAACGACCTACGGAGAAAACAGCGTGAAAGCTGACAGTGACAGTACGGGCGATGGGCTCGGTAATACGGAATTTGACCGTTACGGAAAGCCGGCGAGCGCGCCGCTGCCACCTCGGAAGACAGCCGCTCTTCATACGGCTCTGTGGGACTTTGAGGCACGCGACGGCCAGGAGCTGTCGTTCAAAGCTGGTGATATGTTAGAGATAATCACGAGTTCCGGTGACTGGTGGAGTGCGAGGAAAATCGATTTGTACGGCAGCTTGGCCACCGGTTTTGTACCGTTCAATTATCTGGCGCGTGCGGAGTCCGTGGAGTCTCAACCGTGAGTGTCAAAGCTATTTCTGAACAGTAGTCTGCTAAACTCTCCTAGTGTGTAGAGCAAGGCTGTCCCACAAAAATCTGCAAGGTTCAGGCTCTACATTCCCATCAGTAATCTGAACAATCGTAATTTGCATCGCAGAGTTCATAACGTTACGTTAGTCACTATTGTAGGATAAGCATTTCCATAACTGATTTATAGCAACAATTTAGTTTACCCAAGACTGTGGTTTTAATTCTGTTGGATATCCATCACATCATCTGGGACGCAATTAAAAGTCTAAACGCACCTTGACATGTGACTTGTACTGGGTGTCACGTACTGACAAGGGATAGTTCACTTTTTGTTTATTTATTGCTTTGTGGAACACAAATAGAAAAATGTTTTAAAGTAGTACTATTCCTAAGCAGACCAAAGCTTTCAAAGTTCAAAAATAATGCAAAAGTAGACCCACTAAAAACACAATAACATTGGCTTATCTACACTATACCAAGTCTTCTGAAACTTTGGATAAAAAATAGACCAATATTTTTGTTATTCTCTTATAATGTCCCCCTCCAGTGAGCTGGTAACAGCTGTGAACATGTTAAGGCCAGTTCACACTAACACCAATGCGACTATAATAGACAATTAGGTAAGGGATAATGTACATCCAGCTGGTTATCACTAATTTAACGCCTACAGGGTGATCAGGACCCCGACATGAAGAGGAGGCATAATGTAGGCTACAGTCGTATCACTAATTACACAGCTTTTCACCACTTAAATACAAATTCATGACAGTGTACAAAAAAAACAAACAATCAGTCTGGCAACAAGACTTCAACAATATTATCGTAGGCTTGGCTACTATTAGTACTCCTACTAATAGTCCTTTGGGTTTATTTTACAGTAAATAAAGTCAACAACTGAGGTGCAAGATGATACTAGTTGCATTTGAACGAAACGAGAGCGCGGTGGTGTGATATGAGAGACATTAAAAAGCACTGGCCTCAAATACCTGGATGAGCAGTGTGTTATGCGGCATTGCTAATGGAAGCGGTTGTTATCGGGGAATAACACACCTCAGAATGTTGTGACTGACCAATCAGAATCAGGTATTCCAGAGAGCCATGTAATAAAGCTCATTATAATCAGTGTTGCTGTCTACTTGTACAGATTATGCAGCGTGACAAGATTTGGCATGACACACCCCCAACAGTAAACCGCATACTCTTAGCGCTTGCAATACTTCTGACAGGAAGGACAAATGAATTTGCTGTGGTTACTTTGTTGCGTCCAGTGTAGAGAGCTTCTAGATTTAATATTGCAATGCAACCAGTCACATCCAGTGTAGACACAATAACTATATTAGCATTCACACTAACGGACAGTAACGTTCTGTTTGTTATAAGTGTGCGCTGTAGTTTTGTCATCTACCCCTTTAAAGGGATAGTTCACCCAAAAATTGTATCATCAATTACTCACCCTCATGTTGTTTCAAACATGTATGAATTTATTTTTTCTGTTGAACACAAAAGAAGATATTTTGAAGAAAGTTGTTAGTTACACAGTTGCTGGTAGCCATAATTTATGTCACGATTGCCAGCTGGAGTGCCCTTGATGGCCACCAGAGGGCACTCCATCAAGGACTTCATTCCCCACAATCCTCTGTCGGGTCTCATCAGCACTCATTGTTTGCACCTGTGTCTCATTAGCATTATTAGCTCACCCTATATAAGCCCGGTTCTCTCTGTCATTCATTGCTAAGTCTTGTATGTGTCTACACTGTATTTCTAAGCCTCGTTTCCTGGTTTTGTTTCCCTGCATGTCTTTTGATCACCCTTTGCCTGAGTTTTTGCACTGTTGCTGTTGGTTGGACTGATTGCCCTTGTTGTGACCTTTACCTGTTTTTGGACTTTGATTGTGGAGAAATAAAAGCTTTAACAAACACTGCATCTGGATCCTCAACCTTTGTGTACTTGTGCAGTTTCATGATACTATGGAAGTCAATGGCTACCAGCAACAGTTTGTTTACCAGCTGCATTTCTAGCCTTTCAACAATAATGGGCCACAGGTGTATTATCCACCTCATCCAGCACTTATTTTGTCTTTTTTGACTCTGTGAAAGAGACTGCGCCCTGAGTTCAAGTTAAATAAATTCTTTACCGTTAAATGGTATTCACCTCAGGTTTCCTATCTTCTATTAAAAGAAGCTATAATTAAAGTAATACTATTTGAATCTATTGCAACTAATATCTAGTAATAAATAAAGTATGTTAGTCACCTCTATACAAGAGAACCAAAGTGAATCACTCAGAGATGTTAGTAACTCAAGATAGAATGTATTCCGAGTCAAATAAAATAAACAAACAAAATAAAATAAAATACAAAAATTGTTTCAGTTCACTCAAATTTGTGTTTCAAATCCCTGTCAAAATTAAACACTACATTTCCACAGACTTGTGTATCAAATTCTTCAAATAACAGTGAAACCCATAGTCATCATAATAATTTCAAACTCGTTGGGGCCCATAAATGAAGATCCGTTCAGTTCAGAAAAAAATAAAATAAACAAACTGTACCTCCCGGTGACTCAAACCAATTAACCGCCGTTCCGGAGATGATGAGGAGAGAAACAATGTTCAGCAAACCAGAGCGATGATAGTGAAATAGTCGCGTCGATCTGGATAAACGGGGTTTCCTCAGACGCAAAAACCGATGACTCCCACACGATGCACAGGAAAATCCCTCGCTGTCAGCTGAACTTGGGAGGGTTGCCTATAGCACCTCAGAGCACTGTCCGATGTCTTCACTGTTTCCTCGCGGGGTCCTCGTTGGTCAGCAAATAGATTTACAGTTTCTGCGCAACACTCTGCCGTGAGCATTCACTGGGTTAGATCATGCTAACAGAGTATTTTAACAGAAGGCATGAGCTGCGTTGTCCACACGAACTCTCAAAGTAAGGAGAAATTCCAGAAACTTAGATTTAAAGTCCCTTTTCCCTCTTTCACTTTATAAATTAGTTATTCGGCTTTCGATTTGAAAACCACTAATCTATAATTACAGCACACAAATCTATTTGTTCAATACACAATATACCAGCTCACGCTGTCCCGTTCTTTCTCACACCCCCTCTTCCTTCCCTTTCCCCTAGCTCCTCCCCTTCACCTCTGCCCTGGACATCCAATTGGCCACACACAAGGTAAGAAATATAAATAAAACAAACTAAACACATTTAAACTTAATAAATGAAGGTTTTAACATACAATACCCATTATAACAAATATACAATAAATAAAGAAATTGAAACCACAATAAAGAAATTGAACACATCTTTCCATTGGGTTACATATATAACACTTTTAATTGTCAGGAAATTACTTGTCTTTAAAAGTTTTGGTTCAATATGCTTACCTGTTGATCAAAAATAGCCTTAAACCTATACACTTTTTTTTAGTTAGTAACTTTCAGGAGGGTGTACTCATTTTTGCAACACAAAATTGTATCACTTTGTTAAGAAAATCTTATTTTGCTGAATAATTTTGGCATTCTTCTTTGGTAATTGATCAAGCAGGCTTGTTGGAACATTACATCTCCAAAGAACCCTAACATGTCTTCTAAGTAAAGAGTAATTGCTGAATTTAAGTTTTAGAGGGGGTGTACTCATTTATGCTGTGCACTGTAGTTTCTCCTTCTTTGAAGACCTTTGTATCTTTTATGGAAGTGAGGCAGCTGCGGGTCAGAGGTGATGGGATTATCATCCAGACCTCTCAGTAATTTATCATAGCTTCCACAGAAATGGCAACAAAATGTAAAGCATTGCATGGGAACTTGTTTTGACCTTTTGAAAAGTAGAAATTCAATTTTTTCAACAAATATTTTTTTGCAATATGTTTTTTTTTTTTTTTTTTTTATCACAAAACGTTTTTCCAGTTTATTTCCAGAAGATTTGTTAGATTTGTTTATTTTCAGATTGAACTTTTATTTTGAAGCCCACATTTTCAGTGTGGTCTCACATTTGGAGCATTTGGAGCCTTTTGTTTCACTGATGTTCCCAATGAGCAACTCTTCACCTTTCAATCTAACCTCTTTTTTCTCATCACTTCCTGTAGCACCGGAGGGTCAGGTGTTGACCTCTGCTCACCTGATCTACATGGCTGGTCAGATAGCAGAAGGAATGGCGTATCTGGAAGATCGACACATTGTCCACAGAGACCTTGCAGCTCGAAACATCCTGGTTGGTGAAGACCTGGTGTGTAAAGTGGCTGACTTTGGTCTGGCTCGCATTATCAAGGTAATAATGGCGGGATGTCAAAGATGCCCCTGGAAATCTGCAAATAAAATTGATGCTTAGTATGTAATTTTGTGTGTGTGAGTAGGATAGTGTGTATACCGCTAGTAGAAACACCAAGATTCCTGTGCGGTGGACGGCTCCAGAAGCTGCTCTCTACCAGCGGTTCTCAGTCAAATCTGACGTCTGGTCCTTTGGAGTGCTGCTGTATGAGATAATGTCACGTGGAAAGATGCCATATGATGGTATGAGTCTGTCCATTTTTTCTTTCTCAAATACACTACCATTCAAAAGTTTGGGGTCAGTAAGATTTGTAAAAAAAAATTTGAAAGAAGTCTTTTATGCTCCTTAAGGCTGCATTTAATAAAAAAAAAAATACAGTAAAAATAGTAATACTATGAAATATTATTGCAATTTAAAATAACTGTTTTCTATTTTAATGTATTTTAAAATGTAATTTATTCCTGTGATGACAAAGCTGAATTTTCAGCATCATTACACCAGTCTTCAGTGTCACATGATCCTTCAGAAATCACTCTAATATGCTGATTTGCTGCTCAAGAAACATTTCTTATTAATACGAGTGTTGAAAACAGTTGTGCTACTTCAAATTTTTGTGGAAAGAACAGCATTTATTTGAAAAAGAAATATTTTGTAATATAAATGTATTTACTTCCACTTTTTGATCAATTTAATGCATCAGTTTAATTGTTGAATTAATTTCTCAAAAAAAGACCCCGAACCTTTGAGCAGTAGAGTATATATCTCATATACATGTACCACACTCTATGTCCCACAGGGAAGAATAATAAGGAGGTGTTGGAGATCCTGTCATCGGGGTACAGGTTACCGTGTCCAAATCGCTGCCCCCCAAACATCTACCGCATTATGTTGGAATGCTGGCACGCGGAGGCTTCCAAACGGCCCTCGTTTCATGCCCTTCACAGTCAGCTGGAAAATATCTACTCCAGAATCTATTTCAAAACCATTGAGGTGTAGAAGAGGTGGACTGAAACAGAAGATTCTGTGGGACAGAACGGAGAATGAAGAAACGATTTGCATGGACAAAGGTGCACATAAGATAGACTGTCTTCTTGATTGCTTATATTAATTGAGTTATGTGTTATTTTAATAAATGCTTGTTAAAGGACTTTAAAGAGGATAAAAGATTTGATTAGAGAAAAAGAAGTTGTTAAAGAGCAAAAATGTGTCTCCTTAATCTGAAAGGGACAGATTAGCTCATCATAGCAAATCTTGATCATGAGTGGATCAAGATGTCAAGCACTGTTATGTACTGTCATAATATACGTCTTTTACACTGCACTTATTGTATTTTGTGCAAGTGTTGAGCCCGTTCAGTTTTTGTAGTAATAGGAACAGGGGATTATTTGGTCTTGATGTTTTCAGGTCAGAGTTTATGTTTACAAAAGATTCACCTGCCAAAGTATGGACAGGTGTCGAAATGGTGAAAACTACGGCCATTTTAAGTTATAACTGTTGAGAGTCTTTAGCCTATGTGAAGGCAGGCTGCACAAATAACTGTTTTCTACCAGGTTCACGATCTTGAAATGAACACTGTGTTTAACACAGGAGCCATATGACAAAACTACCTGGGTAGGTGTCCTCATGATCGGTTTCGTAGAAATCACATCCATGTCAGAAGCCAGTTGTCTTCCAATGAATTATACAAGATGAATTCTTAAGATAACTCTTGAAAATAAAATATTTTTTCAGTATATGTTTCTGCAGTTTCTTTATCACTTGTTTGCTTATTTATCATAATGTAACCCGACTTTAAGTTTGACCAGAAATTTGCAAGCATGCTATAGTCTGTAAAGCAATTAACATCCAATAATAAAGTATGCCTGTTTAGCCTACTGAACTTGTGTCATTGTCGTCCACAGGCGTGGTTCAAATGCGGAAGGTTTCACTCTAATGTCAGTTCCCTAAAACAGTAGTCTCATATGGGAATCCACTAGCAGGTGTCTCGGGGACAGTTTAATCTCATGGGGGAATGTTTGAGGAAAACTTGCCCATGTCTTAAGACATTATGGGACAGAATATACGGATCCTCAACGACCTACGGAGAAAACAGCGTGAAAGCTGACAGTGACAGTACGGGCGATGGGCTCGGTAATACGGAATTTGACCGTTACGGAAAGCCGGCGAGCGCGCCGCTGCCACCTCGGAAGACAGCCGCTCTTCATACGGCTCTGTGGGACTTTGAGGCACGCGACGGCCAGGAGCTGTCGTTCAAAGCTGGTGATATGTTAGAGATAATCACGAGTTCCGGTGACTGGTGGAGTGCGAGGAAAATCGATTTGTACGGCAGCTTGGCCACCGGTTTTGTACCGTTCAATTATCTGGCGCGTGCGGAGTCCGTGGAGTCTCAACCGTGAGTGTCAAAGCTATTTCTGAACAGTAGTCTGCTAAACTCTCCTAGTGTGTAGAGCAAGGCTGTCCCACAAAAATCTGCAAGGTTCAGGCTCTACATTCCCATCAGTAATCTGAACAATCGTAATTTGCATCGCAGAGTTCATAACGTTACGTTAGTCACTATTGTAGGATAAGCATTTCCATAACTGATTTATAGCAACAATTTAGTTTACCCAAGACTGTGGTTTTAATTCTGTTGGATATCCATCACATCATCTGGGACGCAATTAAAAGTCTAAACGCACCTTGACATGTGACTTGTACTGGGTGTCACGTACTGACAAGGGATAGTTCACTTTTTGTTTATTTATTGCTTTGTGGAACACAAATAGAAAAATGTTTTAAAGTAGTACTATTCCTAAGCAGACCAAAGCTTTCAAAGTTCAAAAATAATGCAAAAGTAGACCCACTAAAAACACAATAACATTGGCTTATCTACACTATACCAAGTCTTCTGAAACTTTGGATAAAAAATAGACCAATATTTTTGTTATTCTCTTATAATGTCCCCCTCCAGTGAGCTGGTAACAGCTGTGAACATGTTAAGGCCAGTTCACACTAACACCAATGCGACTATAATAGACAATTAGGTAAGGGATAATGTACATCCAGCTGGTTATCACTAATTTAACGCCTACAGGGTGATCAGGACCCCGACATGAAGAGGAGGCATAATGTAGGCTACAGTCGTATCACTAATTACACAGCTTTTCACCACTTAAATACAAATTCATGACAGTGTACAAAAAAAACAAACAATCAGTCTGGCAACAAGACTTCAACAATATTATCGTAGGCTTGGCTACTATTAGTACTCCTACTAATAGTCCTTTGGGTTTATTTTACAGTAAATAAAGTCAACAACTGAGGTGCAAGATGATACTAGTTGCATTTGAACGAAACGAGAGCGCGGTGGTGTGATATGAGAGACATTAAAAAGCACTGGCCTCAAATACCTGGATGAGCAGTGTGTTATGCGGCATTGCTAATGGAAGCGGTTGTTATCGGGGAATAACACACCTCAGAATGTTGTGACTGACCAATCAGAATCAGGTATTCCAGAGAGCCATGTAATAAAGCTCATTATAATCAGTGTTGCTGTCTACTTGTACAGATTATGCAGCGTGACAAGATTTGGCATGACACACCCCCAACAGTAAACCGCATACTCTTAGCGCTTGCAATACTTCTGACAGGAAGGACAAATGAATTTGCTGTGGTTACTTTGTTGCGTCCAGTGTAGAGAGCTTCTAGATTTAATATTGCAATGCAACCAGTCACATCCAGTGTAGACACAATAACTATATTAGCATTCACACTAACGGACAGTAACGTTCTGTTTGTTATAAGTGTGCGCTGTAGTTTTGTCATCTACCCCTTTAAAGGGATAGTTCACCCAAAAATTGTATCATCAATTACTCACCCTCATGTTGTTTCAAACATGTATGAATTTATTTTTTCTGTTGAACACAAAAGAAGATATTTTGAAGAAAGTTGTTAGTTACACAGTTGCTGGTAGCCATAATTTATGTCACGATTGCCAGCTGGAGTGCCCTTGATGGCCACCAGAGGGCACTCCATCAAGGACTTCATTCCCCACAATCCTCTGTCGGGTCTCATCAGCACTCATTGTTTGCACCTGTGTCTCATTAGCATTATTAGCTCACCCTATATAAGCCCGGTTCTCTCTGTCATTCATTGCTAAGTCTTGTATGTGTCTACACTGTATTTCTAAGCCTCGTTTCCTGGTTTTGTTTCCCTGCATGTCTTTTGATCACCCTTTGCCTGAGTTTTTGCACTGTTGCTGTTGGTTGGACTGATTGCCCTTGTTGTGACCTTTACCTGTTTTTGGACTTTGATTGTGGAGAAATAAAAGCTTTAACAAACACTGCATCTGGATCCTCAACCTTTGTGTACTTGTGCAGTTTCATGATACTATGGAAGTCAATGGCTACCAGCAACAGTTTGTTTACCAGCTGCATTTCTAGCCTTTCAACAATAATGGGCCACAGGTGTATTATCCACCTCATCCAGCACTTATTTTGTTTAGCGAACAACATTTTCCCTGTTTAAACGATTAAAAAGATCAAAAGAGTGATTCATTCACAAATCTGGCATTGCTAGTTCTGATTTGAAACTGCTGACAGACATCACACATGACTTTATTGATGAAATATTATCAGAGAAAACATTTCTCAGGTCGATGTACATCAATCCCACTGACACATAAAGATTTAGCAATAATATTTTACTGAGACCCTAGTAAAAAGTTCTAGTGACACCCTTAATCATTCCTCTGGGCTATTATCGTTATAGCTGTGGTGTGGACTTCGCTATTCTCTCAGATTTAGAATGATTTATAGTTATCATCCTTGGTGTGAACAGCGTTTTAAGTGAACTGAAACCAAGTTGAGTGGAAGAAACAGATTAGTCTGATTAATCAACAAATCATTTTGTGAATCAATTTGGTGAATGTTTTTTTTTAACAAATCTGATTTAGCTAAAGGGATGATCTGATCAAACAACACTACTGTACAGCTTAAAAAGTGGTACCATTTACAATTTTATCTATGGTGTTTTTACAGTATTTTTGAAGCTTGATTTGTTTCCTTATCTTCACTGCATTGAATAAATGTGTATTAAATAGCGAAGGATCACCAATTGATGATTCATTATTAAATATCTGTGCTGTTACCCCAAAGGAAATGATATGACCCTGGTGTTTTTTCTGTTCTTTTAGGTGGTTTTTTGGAAAGATGAGCCGTGTTGAAGCATTGAGTCACCTCATGTCAGCAGAAAATGATAATGGATCCTTTCATGTGCGAATCAGTGAGACTGATATCATGGGCTTCGTACTCTCAGGTGTGTGTGTGTGTGTGTGTTGTTTTCTGACAGCCATTAGGGAGTTTGTTACAGCACACATTGAAACCCCTAAAGGTACAATTTCAGACTGAAGTTCTGAATCTTGTCTCTTAGTGAAATCACAGGCCAAAGCAAAGCACTTCAAGATCTACCATACTAGTGGTCAGTTCTATGTGGATCCTTCTCCTCGGTTTGCCAGTATATTAGAGGTGGTTGAATATTATCGAACTCACCCACTCTCCACTTCGGACCTACTTAGGCAACCCTGCATTCGGGTAAGACTCTCTTTCTGTTTCCATTTTGGTCTATTCTCCTCTCCTCTGCTTGTTTTTAAAGTATTTCTCCCTTATTCTCCGGTTCTCTTTCAGTTTTGTCAAATGAGGAAGTGCTTGAAAGAGTTTCTTCATTGTTATGACAATGTCAACTTAATTCCGTCAACTTAATCAACATAAAGAAACTAATTTTTCACTATCCTTCAGCAAACATATGCTGATGTTTGATTGAAAAGCATCTATCCCAGTAAATATGTGAGGATAGTTCTTATTAAATTAAATGTGTTCGTAAACTTCCCTCCTGACACCACTGACCCATGTTTCTGTAGAAAAGGCCTCAGCTGCAGGATCTGTCGCCCTCCACAGTTGATGAATGGGAGCTGCCTAAAGACCAATTTACCCTTGAGAAGATGCTTGGCGGTGGCCACTTTGCAGATGTTTACAGCGGCAAGTGGAAAAATCACACTAAAGTGGCCATCAAAATCCTCAAGAACAATGGTGAGCTCACAGCCAGAGGTGCCACAGAGAAGAGATTTTTTTTAAAGAAACTTTGAAACAGCATTGACAGTGTTTGCTGGAAAAATCTTGGATATAACCTTCTGATAGCTTTAAGCACAAGACTGTAGATGTACAGTCCCACTGATGTACCTGACAACACAGGTTAATGTCTGTGATGATATACATGGCTGGAAAGAGTTAGTAAACATTACTAAAGACTCTGACTTTCATAAATCTATGTCAGGAATAGAATAGACACAAAAGAAACTTACCAACTTTTCTCAAGAGTGGTTATCCGAGTAAAACCACTTCAAAAGCAAGCTACACAATACTTCAGACAGAACCCCAGGATCTGCTGGGTGTCTTACTTTTGCCACTTACAGTGTTCAGGAATTTTCTTCAGGGGAGGAATTGAGCAAGCATGACATGGATAGGCAATTTTGGGATGTAAATGAGTAATGTGACATTGGAAAAAAAAAAAAAAAAAAAACATAATTCAAGCAAAATATGCTTAAGAAGGCAACCACCTGCTTAGTGGCCTCAGGACATGAATACCTTGCAGCTTTACAACCAATAATTTTGGATTGTACATTGCACACATTACAGGTGGTTGCTGAAGTACTGGTATATGTGAACACAATGTAGGTCATGCAGAATGGCAGCGATCCTAAACGTTACACTGGTAAATCTACAACTGAATACCTCAAGCAGAAAATAAGGCATTTAAATTGGCAATTCAAAATCCTGACTGGAATATTGTGGTTCGATTCACCCAAGTGGAATAAATGCATTACTACAGATACACTGCAATACAACTTTGTCTTGTTTGTCAATAAAAACCTCAAATTTAAATATCAATTTACTTGAAAAGTTGTGTATTATATAATGACTTCCTTGTTGCTCCATTCGTAGATTGTTTTTCTTGTTTTAATCTAACAAAATTCAATGAAGTTTATTTAAAACAAGAAATTTAATTTTGCTGTGTAACTGTAAGAGCTTTCTCTAATAAATAC